GTGTGGGTGTGGGTGTGGGTGGGTGTGTGTGTGGGTGGGTGGGTGTGGGTGTGGGTGGGTGTGTGGGTGTGGGTGTGGGTGTGGGTGTGGTTGACTCAGAGACCATCGCACACCTACACCCACACCCACACACACACACCCACACACACACACACACACACCCACCCACCCACACCCACACCCCACCCTGGAGGCTGTGGAGGTGGCGGTGATTGAGACGTATCAATCGAATAAAAATAATTCAAGTTCGAGGACTATAATACACGCTTGATTATTGTACAAATTTCATATTTTTATTAATAATTTGTATAAAGATGTAACAGAATAAATATTTGATCATTCACTCTGAAAAACGAAGGTTGGTAGGGCATAAAACCGGTGTTCAAAACGATCTGATCATGCAATAATCACTTTTTTTGCTTCCATCAGACATCGTTTACGGTTGTAGGGTATGGGTACGAGCACGGGCTAAAAGAACATTTTGTCATAATTTGCATCTACACTCTAGAAAAGAGCTACATGATATTTAATATATGACTGTTAATCAAATTAATTTCCAAGATACAGGAGTATTTCCTTAAATCATCCTGGATTATCTTGAAGACAAGGAATCAATTCAACCTTATTATAAATATTCAATGGACATGTATTCATTTCAAAATATAGTCAAAGACAAATCAAAAGAAATGTGATTAACAAGAAAGTTCTTCTTGACGCTCTCTTGAGGAATAACACAAGTAGTCACCTCACAATGAAAATTGAATTCAGATACTTCTATGGTAACAATGCGACATCAATTAAATGCGTTTATTGAACCGCTCTATTTTATCTACACAAAAAGTATTGTATAGTATACATAATTTGATGCTTGTTCAACTGACCACTTCTTAGTTTACAATATAGAAAAACAATGTGTCGCTTTGAAAATTTCAATGAACACACGGATTTAGAGCTGATCATCGATTGAAAAGATCAGCATGTCTATTTATTGAACAACAAAGAAAAAAGCAAATCTTCCTCGGAATTTACGATTGCAAACCCGTTCAAATTCAAAAGCTCGTATTTTCTTAAAATTATGGGTATTTCACTAAATATGTTGTGAATTTCTACTGTACAGAAGATTAATCATCTCAAGATATTGAAACAATAACAAACGCTTCTAAACGTATGTTTTTCTGTTCTATTAGTTCTTCATTGCACCATTTTCACATTTTATCTATACTCTGTAAATATACCCAGTTGATAAGAGAGAGATGCACATATATCAGCAGTAATCCAGATCCAAAAATTGGCAATTCAAGGAATTCAGCACATTCATGTAACATAAAGTATATTGCTTGAAACAATGATGGAATTCATGCAATTGAAGCAAATCAAGGAATTCAAGAAAATCGTGCAATTAGAGAAAATTTAAGAAATTCAAGGATATTCAAGAAATTCAGCGCATCATATTACTTTGAATTATATCCCTTGAAAATATCAAGGAATTCAAGGCAATTCAAGAAACTCAACACATGCATTACCTTTGTTCAATTCCTTGAATTTCTCTCAGTTTTCTTCAATTTCTAGAATTTCTACAATTCATTGCGTTCCTTGAATTCCATGAATTTCGCCAGTAATCAGGATCTAGAAATTGGAAATTCAAGGAAATCAAGCAATTCAATAGAATTTCTTCAATTTCTTGATTTCGTTAAATTCCTTGGATTCCTTGAATTACTGGGGTTACTTGAATTCCTTGATCTCCTTGAATTATTTGAATTTCTTCAGCTCCTTGTATTATTGGGATTACTTGAATTCCTTGAATTTCCTTGAATTGCGAATTTCTGGATCTGGGCTATATCTCACATATATCACTTTTCATAATAGTTTTTTTTTCCTCATTCTTATTCGTTACTAAAAATGGTTAAAAAAATTCTCATTGCCGGTGCATCCGGTCTCATTGCTATTATACTGATTAAACATCTATTAAAAAAATCTTAACTATGATATTTATGGAATTGATAAACATATTGGATTGTCGTCACGTTATCAGCTTGAAAATACACCAATAACAGAAGGTCAACAGCCAATATTACCATCAAAAGAAAAATTCTATGTATGTGATATCACTGATGAAAAATCAAATTTCACGTATTATCCAAAAAAATCAAATTAATATTATTATTCATCTAGCAGCATTTTTAGAAACAGACACAGTTGAAAAAATTAATCATATTAATTATTATGGTACAAAACTTCTATTTGATATAGCAACAAAACAAGAGCATATGAAAATGATTATTTATGCTAGTTCAATTATGACTGTAATATTTATAACAGAAACTTCTTTTCAAATACAAAATTATTTGATTGGAATTTTAAGGTAAGTAACAATCATTGATAATTTCTGTTTTTATTAATTATAAGGTGAAAAGTGGAATAAGAGTTGTCTGTGTTTGTTAATCATTAAAAAAGAAGGAATCATTTGATATTTGATTGATTGTTTGACCAAATCATAGTATTGAGTTCATTTTTAATAGAGTGTTCATTACTGTAGTATACAGTAAAATTTGCCAATTCATTCAAACGCTTTTCAGCACGTAACGAGTCTTGGATAGCAGTGAAATTTTGCATGTAATTTATAAAGGCTTTTTCCCATGCTTCAGCTAGATTATTTAAATGAACGTTAAATTCTGACAAATTAAATAATAACTTACCTTTTTGAATTTTTTCAGGTTTATTTGAATTCTCGATGATAATAGTAATAACTAATCCTTTAGCTTCGATAGTATGTTTCGTATTCGGATAATTCGAAAATACTACAGTTGGATGAATTATGCCACCAAAATCAGAAAAACACGAAAGATTTAGTAATGTATCATTAAGAGAGGGTTTTTTTGTTGAGCATTGAAATATATGTGTGATATAATCGGCATATAGAAAGAAATCATCACCTATGCTTTTGTTAAGATTGTCGCGTGAATTTTGAAAATATTGAAGAACAGAAAAAACTGCACAATTGGTATTACTTGGTTTCAAACAGATATCGGTCAAACGAACAGAAATATTATCTGGTGGCAGATAACCTTCAAGATTGAGAATATTTGTTTGCAAATCGAGCACTTGTGTTAGAAAATTTAGGTCAAGTGCCGGTCCAACCACAATCTCAGATAATGGACCAGGTGGAGATAGATAATAGTGAGTTTGAAATGTTTGATTATCAGGTACGATGATTAATTCTGTCATGCGAATCGATATGCTGAAAAAATGGATTTGATAGAATTTTAACCGATTCTCATCTACTTACTTTGAATATTTGCCCGGTACATCAGGTGGAGATGGTTTAGGTGGTGCTTTCGGACAATCCTAAAATACAAAAAAATGTTCTCCTTCTTCTATCCTTGTCAATAACTGACTGAATGATCACACATGGGCTGATTTTCATATTGAGTATGAACCGGTTCGTTACATTGAAATGTTGATTGGTTGTAATAATTATTTTGACAAGTATTATTTGTTAAATTGAAATATATTGGAAAAGGTTGTGAAGGATTGTCGAGACCTAAATAATTAAACAATGATTCTTTTGTACACCGATCATAAGGGCGACCACACATAGTATCCAACGAATGTTGATCACTGTCCGGATAAAGAACATCTCTGACAAGAGCAAAAAACAATGAATAATCAATATTTCATCTGGATTTTTGTCACTCACCGACATGAATCAAGTATACGCTGAGCGAAATCATCGGCAAGTACATTTGTAATTGACTCGACGGTCTGTTTGCCTGGATATAATGTACTATTACCAAATTCTCTTACAGTTATGAAATGACTCTGCTGTGGATGACATGTCATAGAGCAGAATAACGACCGAAAATTGTAGAAGCAAGATGGACAATCACCGAACAGTAGTTTGATTAGTACAAGTTGGTCACTTAGGCGACGAATCTGATCAGGTGCGCAACATGTATAAGTATCCGGACCTGAAATCATTAGTTTAGAATAACGAATCAAGATATATTTATCTTTCTGTTTCTTTTTTCATCATATAAAAAGGAGACTTAGATCAAATAGGAATCCAATAAACCCGAAGCCTTGAGATATCTTATGAATTCAGTAACATTAGATATCAACAATAAAGATCTCTCGTGAATATAACTTTAATTTTTATATTGAATCAAATCTATTTACCATTGTAAAACATGCTACACATTGATTTCAAAGTCTTTAATGCTTCTTTATTAGTCAATTGTAATGCTGCACCATTGTAATAACAATTCGTCACTCTACCCATCGCATTTCGACCACATTCTTCATACCAGATACAATGCCCATCCTACAAGGTTTTAATGTAGAATAAAAAATGATTGATGTATTTATTAATGATCTTACTTCTGCTATGCAGTTCATGCACCAGAATAAAATGATGAGAACGAAAGAATTTAATATGATCATCTTTAAAGATAAAAAATACTTGAGGCAGGCCAAAAGGTAGACAGGGAGGATTCCGAAACAAAAAAGCTCAAATCTACTAATTCCCATTCCAAAAAAAAGTTGATTTCACCCATGTCTTCCATAAGTACTGGTGGAGGTATTTCAATTCCTTATAAAACTTTCTTCAAAAAATAATACTCTATTTGATCATACTTCAACTAAAATTTTCGCCATCATATGTGTTGCTTATAAGGTGCAGCCAAATCGATATTTCAATAATAATTTTTTTTCGCGTTATTTTATATTATCTGATAGAGCGTGAGCTACAGATCACCATGAGAAAAACACAACCTTTTCAAAATGTGCAGTATTTTCTGCTTCTGAAAATCAAAACTGCGTCGAATGCACCAGGTATAGGCCAATTTTGTAAACCTATCTAGTTTTCCTACGTAAGTCAGAATACCTAAAAAAAAGAGGAAGATGAAAAATTCCAATTAACTTGATGGATACTTCGTTTTACTCAGTTTTTTCTGCTGATACGGAATCTGTGTTTTGTTTTTGACTAAAAAATCTTATTTGAATCCGAAAACCTGTTGAATACTGCCTAAAATGGTTATGGTACTAAAAAAGACGACTTTTTTCAACATAGAAAAGGAAAGAAAAAATGATTTATAGTCGAATAAGATATAATATTTCACTTCATCGCTTACGCAGAAAAACTAGATAGGTTTACAAAATCGACCTCTACATGGTGCATTCGAAACGCACCACCAATAGAGTTTTTAGTCTATAGTCTATTTAACAACTTGTCTGTCCTCAGTTTTTTTATGCTGAATCTTGAAAAATTATTTTCAGAAGCAGAAAAATAGAACAAAGTAGAAAATGTTGTACATTTTGATAAAGTCGTGTAGCAGCTCACCCTCTATCAGATGATGCAAAAGGAAACGCGAAAAAAAGTTTTTTACGTGAAATTTGGATTGCCGACACCTTATTTATATAGAAGCAGATCGTTATAAAAGAAATCTGATCAAATTTTACAATAATTCAAGTAAACTTGGTTGACAAGCCTAAAGACTCTTAATCGTTAGCGCCTATTAGATAGATCTCGAGGCTTGACCTGCTTGGATCTATTTTCCAGAAAGTTTATTCTTATAGGATCATCGTCTAAGACATGTAGAGAGTATGTTTTGAATCGACTATCTGATGCGAACTAAAAGTAAAGTGCGTTAAATATTGAAATAAAACGTTGTGACCATTTTTGAAAATATGTCGATGATTTGCAATAGGTGATGAAAGATATTGTTTTTACTTCGATTCTTTCATTGAAACATGTATGATGATCATAAAACATCCAAAATTTTCTAACAGTAAATATACGAGTATTCTACCATGCTGATATCAAACTAAATGATATGCGTATTTTAACTCTATGAGTGAGGGTTTTGTGAATCATTGCATATGTTTTTATTAAAATCAAATATAAATTGCGCAAAAAAAAATAATTGAAGATTATGAGAAAAAGAGCACTTGTTAAAGGAAGAGGGCGGATAAAGCCATTTTGCGGCTCACGTTAGAATTGATTTATTCATATTGGGTTTGGATAAAGGATCACTCCTGATCACTTTTTTCAACTTTATTCCGCGAAAACCGACATTCACCATTTTCGTGCTTCAATTGAAAAACAGATCAATCTCTCTTTTGAAGAAAAGACAAACTAATCTGCTACTCTCAATTCCTACTTTTCAGCAATCGATTTGATGTCAGAATTGAATGATTTTCTGTATGGTGCTTCGAGAAAATTTGAAATAAATGCGGAGTTTTTGATTTTGCCGACGCGTTTCGTGTTATTTATTTAAAGAATAAACACTCATCAGGACACTCTGCACAAAAAAGGAATAAAAAAATCGGATTAAGGGGGGAGGGGGTGTGGGTGTCTGTGGGTGGGTGTGGGTGTGGGTGTGGGTGTGGATGTGGGGTGTGGGGTGTGGATGTGAGTTTGTCTTAAGATCGGTTGTTACACCCACACCCACACCCACCCACACCCACCCACACCCCACACCCACCCACACCCATACCCCACCCACACCCACACCCTTTCTGGTTACGTCACCAGAAATAAGAAAGAAGCGAATAACTATAGTTAGATATCATCAATAAGTTTTAGTTATATATATATATCATATTTCATAAGTTTCGGGCTCATTTTGATTTTTTTTTTGTATTTTTCGAATACACAAAGTTGAGCAATCGAGGGTACGTTATTAGTAAACGTGTTAAAATAATTTTATCAAATTTGTCTTTCTTTTTCTTTTCATTATGGTTTTACCTTAACCATGTAAAAAGACCACGTCTAAACCTATTTTAATATTAGAGTCTATAGGAACACGACGATAAGAATGAATCATAGTGAGTGCACGACTACAGACCATCTAGAAAATCGAGTTATTATTTTCTTTTAAAAATAACTCTTGACACACTTGATCTGCATTCCATCCAATGAGAAATTCCAGCACAGCATTAATAAAAATTTGTGTTCATAACGCAAAAATTTCTCTTCGATTTCTTACCAAATTGATTATATGAATGAATAATTACTAATGCTCGATACGAATGATCTAGTCACGTGAGTTGAAGAAAGTTGTTTAAAGCGTTTCGTTTGCTCTTTTCATTGAGTCTACTATCAATAGTTGATGGAGATGTAGTTGAAAGTGAAGAAAAATGAAAGTCCAGATCATTAATGTCGTCATTATTCCAAAAAATATTTTCTAGTCATCTAAGAATAGTTTGTAGTCTATTGATCTCAACCTATCACAAGAATAAGTTGTAATGCTTGTTGAATGTAAAAGTATCACAGATAAACATAGGGGTGTGACACAGCATGGAGTTGGTGCAAGACAGCCTCGTCTATATCTGATAAGCATATCTCGCACCGAATCGTTACGCTTCACAACTTCTTCTTGACACGAACATCTGATGGGTGTTTCATATGAATGTTGAATTTGTAATTGTTTATATAAAGTGAGCATAACAGATGCAACAATATTCGATAATCATTTTCCAACACACGATATGCACAGAGTACAATTTTAACACATTGACAAATGATAGTCTTTGAGAAATTTCTCTTTCTGTTTAGCACTAAATAAAGATTTTCTGAAAGCAAACTGCTTCTTGATAGAAAAGATCGTTTAGCGACAGCAGAATGTTGATATATGATCGAGTACTCATAAAAGAAGTATGCGAGAAACATTCATGACGAAAATCTTGAACACTAAATAAGATATCACTATAGGATCTTTCTTCCATGACATTGAAGTGCGTAAAATGGCACTGAAATTCATTTATTTTAGGTCATTTCGAGATTATCGTCACAAATTATATTAGTATATGATCATGAAATCTTATCTAAATCCTAGTATTCGCATTTTGATTTGTTGCATATTCGTTGTTATGATACTCGGAATTTTTTTTCGATATGCTGACAACTATCCTGACAAAGCCATTGTTGACATATTTCAAATCAGTAGCATAATTAGTGAAAAAAAAAATAATACGGATATTCAATCATCTCAGGATTATATTAAAAATACCTTCAATGAAATAGATAAGGAACTTAGCATTCATTGGCTTCGAATTATCAAACATTATATTCGTGTTCCACTTGATAATCGTTATGGATCTCATCAACTCGTACTACTTGCTACTAGTATATTAACATCTGGAGGAGGACCAGTATTGGAATTAGGTTGTGGTTATTTTTCTACTATTCTTCTTCATCAAATAATTGTTGTTGAACAAAAACGTTATCTACTTTCGACAGATACTGATCTTAAATGGTTATCAAAGTTTAAAGCAAATATATCTTCTTCTCTCCATGAATTTCGTCATATCAAAACAACAAAAGAATGGGATCATATTGGAACTAATCATCCAAGATGGTCTGTAGCTTTTATTGATCATAAACCAGGCAAAAGACGTGTTATTGATCTTATTCGTTTAGCAAATGTTACTGATATTGTTGTATTACATGATACAGGGACTGCTGGATATAAGTATGAGACCGGTCTGATTGTATATCCGTATAGATATCGATACAAATATTTATCAACCAATACTGATGTTTTAAATAAATACAATGGTACACTCTTTCGCAACATACGACTTTTGCTTGAACTTACCATCGAAATGCAAATACCAAAACTTGGTTGATATAACATTTTAAAGCTTCAGGGAATAGGTCTTAGATATAGGTTTGTATTATTAAGAGTGTAGAGAGTATACTTAACTGCCACTCACACTAACACCACCCGAACACTCTCAAGTCGACTGAGGATTTTGTCTTCTTTGTATCATTTTCCATTTTAGTCAGCTCATATTGAAAATAAAATATTTTTTCTTGAAGTGAAAAGCAAATAGTGAAAAAGCTCGAATGTTCATTATCTACTGCAGTTGCACTAGATGATTTCTCAGATAAACTAATATATTTATGCATTAGATCCGTCTGTTACATTTCAATATACTTCCTGATTTTATATACATTGGAGCGGCTAAATACCATTTAATTTAATTTTTCGATACAACAAAATCCACGAAGTTTGCTTCTTAAAAATAATGTAGTTTTGTAACTAGATGGAAGAGTTAGACGGATGCAATTCATATAAATCTAATATAAAATTGATCAGAACAGATTATTAACTATTATTACATATTGAGCTTTTATTCAATAGACATTAAATAAAATTAGAAAAAAAATTAAAGATTATCATATAAAAACATGTAAATGTAGTCCTATGCTTAGAACCAGAAATCCGTTGGAAGCTTATCATTCAGTCTACCAACGACGAAGATGATCGTTAACAGCAAGGCTGAGCAGATAAATGGCATCTGGTAACTTTTTGTCAAATATTTCCATGTCATATTTGTTAGAAAATAAATACGATCTCTTTCGCTTAGTGATTCGAGCTAAGATTTTGCTTGGTTCTTTCTCATCATAAAATCGAGTAACCAACGAGAATGGATCGGTCACCATCGAAAAATGTCGATTATTCCATTGAATCGTAAATTTACTATCCAGAAACTTGAAATATTGAGCAACCGTTCCATTGATCCATTTCTTAGATTGATTATCAAAAATTTCAATTTTGGATTTGTAAGGAACCCCCTGCCATTTCTGGTTGAGTTTGCCTACGACTTTTTTCGATGGATAAACAAGAAGCTCGATCGAGTGTAACAGTACGCGACGAGATTCTATTCGATAGTGAAGAATCTTTCGTGTCGAATCGTAAACCGAAAATTCACCTCCTGTGAATGCAGAAAAATAATCCTTCCGAATATAATATTTTTTTTCCGCCATTCGACAAACGATAAGATGAACCATCAAGAAAAGTACTAATACTCGCATCATGTTTGTGTCGAAGAGAAATGACATTAACTATCCAATGATACACAATGAAGAATAACCTAACTGAGATATTGTTTATAATACAATGTTTTGTCTCTACGATGTTATTACTATATATTGTGTTGTATTGGTTCTATATGTTTATCAACACTGTCAACATCTATTAGTGTGTAAGGAACGTGCAATCATACGATTGTTTGACATTTTTGACTCAATGAGATAAAAACAACATGATATTTTCAGTATAAATGAGCCTTTGAAACAAGGACAAGTAATCGGTAAATTACTTTGTTTTTCTTTGATGTATCTCTAATTGAAGTGTTGAATTCTTCTTTCAAATATGATTTTAGAATATTTTCTTTTCTTTTTATCCGATATGAATTTTTTTGGACTTATCTTCTTAGATATTCTTACATGTAGAGTAAAATAAAAGTGACTAATGTATGTGAACAAAGTACATTGTTTAAGCACACTAGCTAGAAATGATATACTTATTCTAAATGTGCAATTATGTTACTTGATGCTTTCATTTTGTTATCTAAAATGATGGAGGGGCAATAATGTCTTCTAATTTGATTGGCGACGATTTTGACTAAAACAAATGGATAGTTCTAGTTTGATCACCAATTTTCAAAACACTTTCTATCATTACACTGTAGTTGATATCAGAAAGAAACATTATTAGAAATGTAATCTTCTAATTTTCTGTGTTATTCATAGTAATTATCTTTGAATGGATCTCAATGAGACATACTACAAATGTCGCATAAAGCAAATCCAAAAAGCAATATGTAGAGCAGCGTTTTTTTCTTTAGAAATAGTTACTATTTTATTCGTTCGTTGCAATTTTTTTTTATATATGGTACTTGGATTTATTTGCAAAGAATAATATCCAAAACAAAATCTTGTACTGCATCAAATCAATTCACATATGCATGAAATTGTTTTTATTTTTATAATTCTGTATGCAGATTTTAGCTTAAGTTTTTGCCATACAAGATCTAAAATTGGTGATTAGTCTGAATAAATCAATTAATTTATCTCATCTGTATTTAGGTACGTCGCAACGTTATCCAGCAAGCAAAAATTATATTGTTAAATTTTTTTCTACATCTTCAAAAGTGAACAACTCGAAAAATCGCATTTATACTATTGAGTAGTTGATAATCTTTTCTCTGAGGCATGTAAGTTTTCATGAAAATCTATCGAAAGTTGATATTTGCTTAAAACTATCATAACATACATTTTTTTTTGCTTTTCCTAAATCACTCGATGCCTCAAATTCACGAACTATATAATAGACTCTAATGTACATAAGTAGATTGCAGAAAATACGTATATAAAACAACAGGATACTATTCTTATGAATTCATGATTTGTACAATTGGAAAGTAGTTCTATGAAATATTTTAATTTTTACCGGCAGAATATCAAAAGATAAGATGAAAACCATCGTTTTTCAGTTTTACAAAATAATGTCTCTTTAGTAAACATCTATCATTTAAATCATGATCGTGATTAATTAGTTATTTACTATTCTTCTTATTGAGTTGCTCATTGATCGAATTTAAATTGACGTAAATCTAATCAAAACTATGTAAACGATAGAGAAATCAGCGGTCTATTCATGTACATGTCAATGAAAAGAAGATTTAATGTTAAGAAAAGCATACATGAAAAAAAGTTCACGGAAAAGTATCTGAAAAATTCACTCAGTTTATAGTAGAAATAAGCCGATCAAAAAATATCGATAGAGAAATGAACGCTCTATTATTCTATATAAAAATAAAAAATTTCAGTATCCCAATAAATAATAGTCGTCGAAAAAAATGACCTCAGAAGTTATTTGATATTTGCTGGATAAAAAAAAACTTTTTTTGACTGTTTGTCGAGATTTATCAAATTTTTGGACAAATTAGAACTAAAGGAAATAAAATGCAAACTATATAGTTCTATGGAGTAAACGATGCTCTATTCAACTGTATCAAAACAAAAAAACTTCCAATGTTTTGTATAAATACAGTAAACTGCGCAAAACTAGTAAAAATAACATAATCAAGCTGTAGTTGAATAAAAGAACGAACATAACTACTTCAGCACATTTTTATGTGCCCGTTCCTACGCGCATCTCGTTTTTCCAACTCTTGTATTCACGCATTGGATAGAACAGGAAAGAAAAAGACAAGCGACAGAACGTGAAAAAAATTGACTAGACAAAGGATAAAAAAAAACAAAGAATGCAATGAGAAACCTCTAGAAGAGTCTACCATGTACTACAAAATTGTCGTATTCCGCTTAAATATATATATATATATGCTGCAAGTTAGTGCCTACATTTTACATCTAAAAATTTTCATCTAAGAGTTTCAAAACACGATTATGGCTTTTTTACCGATTCATCGTTATCGTGTATTCAACGATCCATTTCAACAACTGTTCGGTAATCCACTCGATTTTTTTGATCCGTGGGGAGACTACAATACAACTCAATTAATTGTACCAAATGCATTTAGATGGATCAACGAACCGCTTTGTCTTGCTCGTAGACGCTTGAAACCAAGACTTAAAGAAAAATTTCGTATACAACTAAATGTAGATGGTTTCAATCAAGATACAATTCAAACACAGATCGACGGTAAAAAATTAGTTGTTCAAGCCAAATATGACGATCGTCAAGGCGATGGTGATTTTAATTATCGAGAAATGCGGAAAAGTTATGATCTACCTGAAGATGCTGGTATGTTATCTTCTTGTGACGTAATCCAAAAGATCTCGATCAAGCTCAATCTTCTTCTTAGTTACAAGTTTTGGTTATGCAAGAACGATACACTAAGCTCTACATAAATTATAAGAAAGATAGACTGAGATCCGATCTGCATAGAGACGTAAGATTTGCCGGTGGAAAGTTTCTTTGTCTTACTTGCTAAAGCACGAATAGGAAGACTTTTTTCAAGACATATATTACCGACCTTTGTAGGAAAAATTGTTTTTTGAGGCCCTGTTTAATTACACCTTTCGAGTACTTTTCACATGGTGAACTCATTTCTCTTTAATAACTCTTCAAGTCTAAACGATTAGATCGCATAACTGTCGTCGATGTCAAAGTAGGAAACAATGAATGAATTTCCGCTATTGTCATGAGTAAAAACGAGTATTCTTCCATCAATCAAATCTTGGCTGCACCACAATTATCTGTTAATAATTAATTTAGACTCTATTTATTTTCATAGATGTGGATAATATTGTGTCGTTCGTTACACCGAATAACATGCTAGTCATTGAAGTACCAATTCGTCATCCAGAAGTCGAACGTCATTTAGTCGAAGCACAAGATGAAGCAAGCAAAGAATTGGTTCCATTTGGACAATATCGTAAGCCAATTTTTGACCAAGTTGGTTTTCTGGATAATTGCGGTTTTCATCAACGTATTGTTGAAACAGACAACAATGGAAAAAAACAATTGCAAATATCATTGTCTATGAAAAATATCAAGCCTAATTTGATCAATGTTTCGGTAAAAGATAATCTATTGACTGTACAATGTGAACATAGTTACAAGGATGAGAACTGTTTACAACGATCATTCTTTCGAAAATCGATGACGTTACCACCTGGTACACAGGTCGATCAATTACGATCACAAATAACAGACGATGGCGAACTAAAAATCGATGCACCTTACATCGAAACGACTCAACAATAAAAATTTGTCGAACGATAACAGTATAACATTTATAAATTATTTTGTATTGAATTGAAAATTTTTAAAGCGTAAATGTATTCATCAACAGTAATAGTCGAGCGAGAAAGATTAAAATAAAATGAAGATTTTAAAATACATACAGAAAAATACATTCTATCTGATGAGCTTTCTGAAATGACAATTGCGAGACTTGTAAATCTTTCTTTAACAATGGATCCGTGCAAAATTTGAGCATCTAAATTTTGTATCAATAAACAATTTGTTGATTTTTAAGTTAGTATAGAATAATTATCGGATTAGATTGCTGTCCAGTAATTGATACAATATCAAAAGTAAATATTCAAATTATAATAAATACTGTCCAACTCTGTTAGTGTTCCTTTATTTGCTTTAAGACTCAAACAGGTTCTGCAAACTCGACTTTTTACAAATTCACATTCAGTACATACACACTTATCGATCTCACAGAGCTTACAAAAACTTATTCATATATAAAGTACTATCTTTTGAGATAGTAAAGTAAATGTAATACAGATGAGCTTGTACTCGTCTTTCTTGAATTTCAATCACTTTTGTCGATGCAATTCTCAATGCTAAGTGACATATGTATGAAATATCTAGATCATCAATTATTTTCCATAGTCTGCTTAACACATTGTTGGGTGAGTATAGGTGTGTTTATGGATGTCAATGTGAGTACGGTATGACTGTGGAGGCTTGACTTCTCTCTATTCACACCCTTTCATCCCTCCGCCCTGAATTTATTTGAGGATAGCATGAGTAATTGACGCACAAACGACTATCAAATTTACAAACCGCATCATTTGTTAGACTAAGCTTTATTTCAATCAAGAAATTTATCGTCTTTTGTTGTAGTTTCGTTTTTTTTTTATAGAAACGATAATAACGTCAAATACCGATACCAAATATAAATTGAATACTGAGTATGATAATGATAGCAATCGTACTGGAACAAAGTGTAATACATGATGAGTTAGGTTGTTCGGGTTTCAAACTTCTGAGAAGTATGCCAAGACGGCGACCGGCTTGAACGATTCGTTTATCGATCAATGGATAATTTCGTTCGAAATAGAGTTGATTCAAATTGAACGAACCACTGATATTTTGATTATTATCATCGGTATAGAGTTGCGAACAGACAATATCAATATCTTCTCGAATCCATGTTTTATAATCTTTATCACTATTCATATCGATGGTAGACGATTGATTGATCATAAGTGAATAAAGATAATTGAAATAATGCTCAATATTTGATGAAAAATGTTTATGTAGACGATACATTAAAATATCATCATCCCATAACCAATGAAAATCAGTCTGTTGAGTTGCGCCCATGAAATAGCCTATAAATAAATACAATAATTTGAACTAATATTGTCTGAGAGAGTTTTATAGAGAATTGTTTTCCAATCATTCAATAGAAGGCCGCATGAGAAATTATTGACTAGATTCGTTCTCTGATTCTGACCGGTGACTTCGAATTCGGGCATTATTACGCATTAGCTCCAATAAAGTTTTTTTTCGAAATTGATTTTGTTTTGTCAAAGAATTTTTTTATATCAAATGCTGAAGAAATGTCTCACCATCATGGAAAATAAGATCTTGTCAATCTGTCGAATATGGTTATCTTCGAAAGAAAATGATATCGGAGATAATGGAGATAGTTAGTGACGAGATTCCGAGACGCCGAAAAAAGAAAATTTTCTTATATTTTTTATGGAAACGAACATAATTCATTTATTCGATCATTTTAAAGTAATGCATTCAGTATGATTAAGTTAATTGAATTGCACTTTCCAAAGCAAAAGCTTTCTCTGCAATTCCTTCAGAATTAAAGTGTTAAATGCACAGGGTTTGTTCTACTCATAAATGAAAGTCCTATCCATCTTGATCATATGAGACCTCACGGTCAGAAACGTTAACGTGTCGAAATGAAGGTTAGAGCATGTGAAACTTGAAAATCTTATCCATTCTACCTGCCTGTCGCGATCTATGAGGAGCGAAATTGGGAAAAGCAATATTTCACGCTGTATGTCTATTACAGGTAGGTTTTTCATAAAATACTTTCTCAATTTGTTATCTAAAGTATAGAATCAATACATCGATTATTATTAGTATTGTACTATTAGCCAGGCCTCAGTTATCGTATTTTAGAAAGATTCGAATAGATTTATCATAAAAAAAAATTTTCCTTGTGTTTCGCACGAGAAATAATACTTACCTTTGAGCGCAGTACCGCCTTTGTCGCCAATAAATCCGGCATGCAATGGCTGATGAATGTCACCAACAAAATGAAGAAGAAAAAATAGAGCCTCTTGTCGTTGTGTTTCGTCAATTAATCCACCTAAGGGAGCAACGATACGCTTCGTATAATTTTTTAATGCACCTTCAATACATCGATCTTGTGGACAATCTCGTTCAGATATATACGAACAGTTCCAATCGGGTATACGAATATAATGTAATTCGGCAGTCCATAACCAATTTTCATAGCCAATAGGATTCGTATTCGGATTGAGAATAATATCGGGCCATATAGCCATAGCACTTAAATTGCCTTTATGATGCCATGGTACCAATGCTCGTAGCCAATCAAATTCCGAACTATTTAATTGAGTTTCTGCTAGACGAACAACGAAACTGTGTCCTACTGGGCCCCATCCATGGATGAGTACTCCACATAGGCCAACGCACAGCAACAGAATAGATACGAAAAAAGACATGAATCTATTATTGTCTTGAGGTAAATATGAGACACGAAGCAATTGAACTTCAATGATAAAGAAACAAAAAAAATGTAGCAAAGAGCAAAGTATATTTATTTATTGTGATCCAGAAAAAGTCGAAAAATTACTTCATTTGATAAGAAAAAAAAGATTAGTCAATATCAAGACAAAAAGTACATAGGATTTACATTTTTTTCCGATTTTTCAAACGAAAAGTTATCTTTACTTTGTATTTGACGATAGATACTGTTCAAATTGACTTACAACAAAGTTTCTCTAATGAGACTTGATATGTTTCAATTGTTTTATCCGAAATCGTTACTAAATTTCAACTATCTAATTCGACACTGCCAGGATCGATCAGCATTGACTAAGAAATCCGAATTTTTTTATAACTCATTCCAACTGATTTCTGTAGTATTAAAGTCAATTAACTGAAATTCGATTATGATTTCGAATCGATCAAATAAGATTCATCGAATTTTGCTTAAAGAAACTTGGCTAGATTCTACTATATGTAAGAACTTCGAAACCATCTTATACAGGGTGTTCTAAAAGTTCCCGAGAAAAGTAAATTTGAATATTTCCATTATTTATCAAGTTTAATCAACTGATTTTTTTTTCAAATGATAGGTACCAGTATGAAGTTTTTTTTTATACGAATAAGTTTCATAAATACTGTTCAAAGTTATTAGTTTTGGCTGATATACAAAAAGCACCCGTTTTTCGGTTTCCAAAAAATTGCTAGGTTGTGTTTCTTTTTTAATGCTTTAATTTCTTGCATTCTGTCTGACGTTTAGATCGATCAGATACTTTACTATCATTTCTATGCATTTCTTTTGGTATATCACAACAAAACGAAGCCTAATGGAGTCAAATCCGGCGATCATGAAGCTCAAAAGATCGGTTCACCTGTTCGAGTTCATGAGTCATCGTTCGGAAACATAAAACGGTTTCATGAGCTTCGTAAATACCAAACTTGACACCATTAGGCTTCTTTTTATAGTGGCATACCAAAAGAAATGCATGCAAATGATAGTAAAGGATTAAACGTCACACAGAATGCAAGAAATTAAAGCATTAAAAAAGAAACACAACCTAGCAATTTTTTGGAAACCAAAAAACGGGTGCGTTTTGTATATCACCCAAAACTAATAACTTTGAACAGTATTTATGAACCTTATTCGTATAAAAAAAAACTTCACACTAGTACCTATCATTTGAAAAAAAAATCAGTTGATTAAACTTGATAAATAATGGAAATATTCAAATTTACTTTTCTCGGGGACGTTTGGAACACCCTGTATGGTACGAGTATTATTCTGAGATTCAATATATACTTAACTTTAGTGATTTTTGCGTCAACCATTAAGAAAAAATGAGTTGGTAAAGAAACCGTTCTAAACTCTTTTAAAAGTAAAGATTTAAAATCGTCTAACTAATTTATATTGGATAAGAAATATCCCTAACTACTTTATGAATGAACTACTCATCAAAACAAAAAGAAAGAATACACTTAAATACTATTTGGACACGTCTCTAATCTCATAACGGAATATTCGACAAAAATAGACTCGTGTTAGAGAAGGATTTATCCAAAACCACTGTGAGCTAACTACTTCATCGTAAAAAAATTGTATTTATTGATATCGAGATATATTAAGAATTGAGTACTTACCGGAAAAACTATGGATGTAAATAAAAAATATTCAGAGTCTTCTCGCCTAACGCTACAGATTTGTTATTTGCACAGATAGTAATATCTGTCGATTAAAAATACGTAGATATTTCATAGAAGAAGAAAAACTCCGTACATTTATTTTAATAAATGTACATTTTTCTCTATTTCTATTAATTGACAATCAGAAAAAAAGGAATTTTACTAAACAATAAATTTTTATATCATATTAACAAAGAACTAAAATTTTTAATGACTACTATCTATCTTCTATTGTTATGAACTACCTATAGCTGCACAAAAATTCATACGATAATAAAAAAAGCACTTTTCCTCTCTATCCTTACCTATCGATAGACAAATAACGAAGAAAAAATGTACCTATTGAAAAATATCTTATTGCATTCTAATTGAAATATTAAATGAAAAAACAAAAAAACAACTCTCTTATACAAAGAAGTATGCATTATTCTATTCCCATGAAATGACCTTGAGGAAGAGAAAAAAGATGTATGTATCAGAGATTGATCGATCACCTACTGTTACAAATTGATTATCTATAAGAAGAAAAAGACACGTTTCAGTTAGATGTTCGCTGTCTAATCTCTGTCTTTATTCTAAAAGAATCGCGATTATATATATGAATATGAATGCACTAGGAAAAAACATGAATGAGAAGGAAAATACCAATGCACCTGAATTAGATCAAAGAAGAGAGAACGATATATATTAATATTATATCCTAAGCGCAGAAAAGGAAAAAAAAGAATATGTATGCCATCCATATACGATAGAAGTATGGAACTAGAATAAGAAGAAAAAAATAAAGAGACGACATACAATCTCTTATATTCTTACAGTTTCTCTTTACTAAAAAGCTAATGTCTTACATAGTTATTAGTGATGACACTACACGGGAGCATGTAAGAACTTAGCGTTTCGTTCCCTTGATGGAAAGTTCGACTGTCCTCTTTAATAATTACAATGTTACCAGAAATACTGTCAAAAATGTTACGCAGATACTTTGATAATGTTTTTCGATCTCGTCCATAATAATTATTTTAATTTCAGTAACAAAATGTTTATTGATTGACTTTTAACTCATAGAGAGTTATTGAAGTGATCGAAGCATAATCATTTTTATAATATAACCCTCTGCTGAAACAATTTTTTGTGCATTCTTTTGAATAACTGAGAAAAAAACTTAACAATCGATCGAAATTCACTATTTTTGTTCGGAAAACGTTAAAGATCAATATTTGTCTACGTGGGTCTATTGATCAAATAGTCGAAAAACAACGGAAAAAAACATCTTAATATGATGAATTATCGTTGCGACATAAAAATTGATTTTTTGTTGCTTCTAATTATCTACTGAAATTAGCGTTAGGATGCTTACGATATTATTCAGAAGAAGGTTTTAGAATGCAGTGAAAACTTATAGAAAGCGTACGAATTCTCGACGAATGTGATTTATCATCTATAGAAGCTAGGCAAGTTAAACACGTTTAAACGCGGTTTCTTTTTATTCGATATGTATGTATCCTATTTTTATAAATTTTGACTTAATTCAACATAGTATTATCTTCAATTCGTTCATGCTCAATTATCTTTTATTGTGAATAAAACATGAAATTATTCTATTCATATATTTTTTTTTTGTATATATATTGAAACAGGATTATTTAAACTTATATTATTCACTTTAAATTCTTCGTATTACAAGAAGTGTCGATAATTATAATAAAACAAACTAATAATAAATCTATTGTATAAGCAGATTATAATCGAACATAAGTTTGAAAAAAACTATAATATGAATTAGATTATAGAAAAATATATGAAAACTACAAAATAGAATCTACCGCATATGAGAGAGATAAATAAATAAATAAAAATATTTTAACAATATTCTTTTCTATTTTAACATTTATAAATAGGCTCTCATCTGCTCAGAAATCAATCCAGATATCAATATCTACTCACATGCTGTATAAATCCTGAGCATAGTGCCTTGGAATTGGCTATCTATATTTTAATGTTCATGAGATTATATATTAATATAAAAAAGCTAATTCTGTTACATAAACAAGCTACTGTGAGCTGCTAAAGAATGCAGTAAACTAGTATCAAAAGAAAAAAACAATTCAAGTTTCCTGTGACATATTGCTGCATTAAAATATATTTAGTCCTTTGAATGCGTTTTAACTAGTTTCAAAATTGTATAATAACGCTGTTTTTTAAAGGTTTTCTCTGTCCGAGTAGTGTTTTACAGTGACGAAAATAGCTTTATATGACTTGTCTGTACATTATCTGTTTTCTTCTGAGACAGTGATCTAACTTATAAATCTATCTGAACGTAATCAATGTGCATTACACACGAAAAAAACTGAAAAACTACGACATAATGAATTACTACATACTGTTATTATCAATACGACTTTTTTTTTGTTTCTTCAAGAGATTAACTTGAGAAAGAAGCTGATTTCTTGTTATTTTAACACAGATCTCATATATAAAACAAATCAAAATGTTGGAAATCTTCTATTTTAAAAGCAAATTCAATTTGTATAGCATGTCAATCTTCAAACTCAGACAAGTGAAAAGAAAAGTCAGTTTGAGAGCTTTTGAAGTCAAACATAACAAAGCTTCAGTCGAAATCTGAAAATTTAAAATCAGTCGTTTATCTCCTTCGTATTACATTTTATCGGTGGAATTGAGTCTCGCTCTGAAAAAAACAAGGATCTTTTCACAATTAAGTACGCGCACTATTGATCTTTCAAATACATACTTTGAGAGTACGTCAGATTTTTTCAGAAAGAAAAATTTTGGTCGTTACAATTGAGTCGTTGATCATGCTATTTATCTATCTTCTATTGATCATAAATCTTTTTGCTTCATCTATATTGTCTCTCCTTAACGATAATAGGCTCTACTGTTGAAGAATAACTATGAGTGTGCAGTTGTCAATGATTGGTTAGTCAAAAAAAATCGACGAAAAGGTAATCCGATAAAAAAAAGGTTGGTAGTCAATTTGTGAGCTGATACTCAACATTTATCGTTTTTCTTTCTCTCTATCACTTGGTGTGGTTGTCGATGTAGATATGAGTCTGGAAGTGTTGTGTGAAGACGGTTGGAGAAAAAAAGCAAAAGCTACACTCACATCTACACGTATCCTCATATACAAAAATTAAATTAAATGCATTCAATTGTGCTCCATGACCAGCAATATAAAATAGGATAATATCACTCGATTAAACATTAAGGTTAATTGTAACTTGCTGATATCCCATGTCCTTGAGTTTCAAATTTTGATGACACAGCTCGCATGTCGTTTGTTTCAATAATTAGAGTTCGACTGTTTTCATAATTACCAATACTGATGAAAAGTGTCGACTTTCGTCGTGGCAAAGCAGATCGCTAATTATTATTTTGGTCACCATTAGAGAGAGTCTCTCATGGAACTTGCTATTGATTGCCCTTTATAATTAAATGCTAAGCTTCTCTCGTAAATAACGTCAAAAGAAAATACAGTACTCTATTTCTTATGTGGGATGGAATATTCAAAGAAAAATTTTTTTAAATGTCTTAATTCAGGTGAAGCTCACAACTTGTTACTGTATGTACGCATCGATCGATTATTAAAATCACAAGTGTTTGTGTAAATGACCATCTTTTCTCTGTGACAGTTTAAACGGACGCTTTTTTCCTTATAATGAAGAATTTTAAAAAGATTCTCATGTAGCATAAACAGGTCAGAAAAATATATTTGTCTTCGAAATTCAATAGTCCGAGAGCATATCCAGAGTGGCTGAATCGTATATGATAGTTCGAAGATTGAACAAATACTCGAATAGTGGCATAATAACCAGAATTTTGTCATTGCTTAGGTTCTTATGGTGTGATATTGGCCACTATTAAGATGAAATGTTTCCATTTATAGAATGGCAGAGATCTACTCTTGAGGCATAATCACTTTCTCTTGAAGATCAGCCTCCGTTCATTTCAATAGTGGTTACGCCGTTATGTTTGAGTGTACGAAATTGGAAATCAAAATTTCATGATTCTATTTCCATTAACATGTCATACTCTATTGAATATTTCATATGTATTATTCTACATATCGTATTCTGCAATAAAATATTCACCTTATTCTAATATGGAGATTCTGACATATGTGTTCATTTCATAATCGGGATTTCGATTACAGATCTAACAATGGAAGGGTTTGTACTATTGAGCAAAACGATTGACCATGTTCGGATCAAATGATCACTTTCATCAAGAAACTAACAAATTTAAAATATGAGCTGTCCATGGCGTATCTGGACAAAGATATTCAGTTTTTAATTTAGGTATAGAAGCATGATAATATAAGAACCGGTTCATATAAGCCATGACCGACCTTGCTCAATCGAGGCCTTCAAGTTTTGCTCAATTCTGAATATATTATAGAGGAAAGAGTTTGAAGAATTTTGACGCAAGCTGTTTGAAAAAATACTATTCTATTGTTAAGATATTAAAATTTTTCTGACAGCACTATCGTCAAAAAAAATATATTTTCTATGATTACTGTCCGAAGGCTGACTATGTTGGCGTGTACCTGGTACGAATTATCAACTAATCTAGAGTTAACTCATTGGAGCTCATTTTTCTATGACAAATACATCAGTCTGAGATATATGCATAGTAAAAATTTCA